ATGAAGATGAAGATGAAGATGAAGATGAAGATGAAGATGAAGATGAACATGAACATGAACATGAACATGAACATGAACATGAACACGAAGATGAACATGAAGATAAACTTGAACATGAACATGAACATGAACTTGAACATGAACATGAAGGTGAAGCTAAACATAAATATTAAAAGCGATACAGACAAAGATTGAGAGGAAGAAAGTGATAGGGGTAAAAAGGAAATACAACTGAAGAATGTGCGATGTTATATTGTGGTGTGTTATGCCACATATGTTATGTTATTTAATCTTATGTTATGGTATGTTATGTTATGCTAAGTACTAAGCTAAACTCCTCTCCACTTAACCCGTTCCAACTAATGTTATTTCAGCTCAACTCAGTTCACATAAACTATGCTTAATTTTAGCGGTTGAATTTCAACCGCTGGGCGAACACTAGTAGATAATAATTTGGCAATTTGTTACACATTTGTAATTAGTTTCGGTCACTATTACAGTCAAGCCTTGTACCACTCTGCCATAGTACAATTTTGTACACAACTCTGAATCACCAAAATTCCGGCTCCTTCTGAGTATCAACCCTGATCATATTTTACCCCCGAGGAGTACCCAACAAGGTTTATTTATCTATATACTGTGCTCTCTACTATAACTACTGGCATCACTGCCAACAAGTCCTCTATCACACATACAATCTCACTCTTCCGCGCTTGCCTAGCCCCGTTGTGCAAAGCTTTGCACGCGCAGTCGCACGCGACACATATGTGCTGATTTGGGCATCCCTAATTTAATCGGGCAGGTGCTGGAATTTACTTCCGAGTGAATTTCAACCCCTGCCCATTTGAGTTCAAAGCAAACCTGACTCAAATTCACTCGGAAGTGAATTGCAGAACCTGCCGGAATGAATTAATATTTTTTATGAATCGAGGAAGTAATAGTTTAACAACAATTTATTAGGAAATAAACCTAATTACTTTAATATCATAAAAATTAATTAACAAAAAATAGCTTTATATTTAAAATAAAATCTAGACTAAAAAAAAATATTTATTAAGAAAAATAAACAAAAATTAAGTAAATAAAAAAATAAAAAAAGCTCCGCTGCCCGACGACTCGGACTCGAGCTCGGATCTCTCAATTGGCAGTCTGGCTTTGCTCACTCGGACATTGGGACTGCTGGGCCAGCAAAATGGCATACATAAATGTCTATTGTTTCCTTTGCACTAATTGATTTCGAATCAGCAATCGAAGCTGGCAACGATATTTTCGAGTTCACTCGGATTCAGTGATAGCAATCTTTTCGTATTCGTAGCGGACATTCCAATTCGTAGATTTTCCGTGATAGCCCTGGTTATGTATGACGACTGATAGCCAAAGAGCAACCATATACTAAAATTCGCATTACCTCTGGCAACTCACTACTGACTGTCGGCTACTGAGTGTAATAGCGCAATTTTCTGTTTCTCGCTCATGACAATTTTATTTGTTTACATAAATTGTCAAAACACATTGGAGCAAAACTGGCAATAACTTCGAAATGTACATGTCAAAAAAGTAAACTCGGATGCTGTCTGCGCTTCTCTGTACACTAAATTAGTCGCTATATATAATACAATGTACTGTTTAGATAAAAAAAACCCAGTTTACTACTCTAAAATTCACTTGTACTTTATTGTCCGGAATATATACTTAAACAATAGGTAAGCTTAATTAATATTAAACTTTAAATTAAACGCGAATTCTTGGATATCCTTCTGGTTTGAAGCGAATCAAGCGAACGAATGAGCTGCTTGAAAAAGTATATTTTTCATGTAGATATATATGCACACTTTGCGTATACGCTGCTGCTAATTCGTTGAGTGCACTCTTTAGTTTTCGTTTTTCCTTATTTGGTATTTCGTAGTCGGGGTTGCCATCAACCCATGCGTTCAACACAGTTGCCACAGTGCTCCCCCCAGACTTTACTTCCTAAAACGGACGGGGAGTCTAATCCTACGCCCGAGGCGGCCTGTCGTCGGTGGTTCGAAAGTTGGCGTCTGATCTGGTGATGATTTGTGCGACTGGGTTGCGTTTTGTAGCGTCGGCATTGTTGATGGTTGCGCCTGTGTTTGTTGCGACTCAATAAATACCGGCTTCAGTCGGTCTATCGATACGTTGACGTTGTTCGTTCTTGCTCATCTTAATGTTAAAATATTTTTGGTTTTTGGAAACTACCTGGTATGGACCGTCATATGGTGGTTGAAACGCCGGCCGGAGTTTATCATTGCGCACGAAGACATATGATGCATCCATCAGTTTGCTTGAAACGAATTTCTTCGAGGTATCGTGGTTTGCGTTTTGAATCGGGCGTATCTCTTCCATGATATCGGTGAGCTGTTTCACGAATTCGGATTGCGGACGCGGGGTTTTGGTTTCGGTGAAAAACTGTCCGGGCAACCGTAAGGTGGTGCCGTAGACAAGTTGTGCGGCTGTTGTACCTATGTCGAGTTTGAAGGCTGTACGCAGTCCCAGCAAGACTATTGGTAAACAGTTAATCCAATCTTACCGTTTGTGACAGGTTATCGCTGTCTTTAGTGAGCGATGCCAGCGCTCTATGATGCTATTCGCTTGCGGATGGTATGATGTGGTGCGCAGGTGGGTAATGCCGAGTGTTCGTGACAATTCGCTGAATATCGTGTTCTCGTGGTATCGTGCTATCGTGTTCTCGATGCCGGCGACGTGCGTGATATTCGTCGTGAATTGACTGATGAAGTCTAACTTTCGCGGTGAGGCTCGGTCGTACTTTTGTCTAAAAGCGTATATTAACGGCTTGTGGTCCGTGCGAACCTCGAAGGGCCTACCTTCCAGCATTCCACGAAAGTACTTGATGGACAGATACACTGCGAGTAGCTCACGGTCGTAGGTACTATACCTCTGTTGCGTTTCGGTGAGTTTGAGGCTGAAAAATGCCAGAGGTTGAAACTCATTCCCAACGATTTGGTGAAGAGCTGCACCGATAGCGGTATCACTTGCGTCTGTGCTCAGAGATATTTTT